CGCTCACACGCACTCCTACGCACCCACTCACACTCAGCACACACACGCTCACACGCACTCCTACGCACCCACTCACGCTCAGCACACACACGCTCACACGCACTCCTACGCACCCACTCACACTCAGCACACTCACGCTCACACGCACTCCTACGCACCCACTCACACTCAGCACACGCACGCTCACACGCACTCCTACGCACCCACTCACACTCAGCACACGCACGCTCACACGCACTCCTACGCACCCACTCACACTCAGCACACACACGCTCACACGCACTCCTACGCACCCACTCACACTCAGCACACGCACGCTCATGCTCCCATGCACACACATTCACATGCACTAATGCTCACCGACATGTGCACACTCACAGAGTGACGCTCACAGGCTCACACACATGCCCACGCATTCACACATGTTCACACATGCGTGCATACTCACATACACTGACACTAATGTACACGCACACATGCTCACATGTTCACACACACATTCAGGTGCATTCACGTGCACATGCTCTCATACATGCTGACACACTCATGGTTACATTCACACTCATGCTCACATATTCATGGTCACATACACATGCTTACACTCAATACACATTCGTGGTCATACATTTACACACCTGCTCACACACAAGTTCACATGCTTGCACATGTACACTCATGCTTACACATACTCACATGCATGCTCATGGTCACATGCACATGCTTACATTTATGCGCACATACGCACTCATGATCACATACTTATACACACGCTCATATGCTCATATATGCTTACACCCTCATACATGCTCTCACATGCTCACACACTCATACGCATGCTTACAACACACACGTGCTCACACATGATTTCACACATGCTGACATTCATGCTCACACATGCTCATGCTTGCACACACCCTGGCATTCATACAACATGCTCACATGCTCTCACATGCTCACACATTCATACACACAGACAGTCACATGTTCACTTCCACACATGCTCACACTCTCACACTTGCACACTCACACGCTCCCCTCCCTGTCTGCTGGGCCTTCTTCCCCCAGCCCGCGGCTGCCCCCAACTCATTTCTGGGCGCGCTCGGAGGGGACTAGACAAGTGTGTGAGGGCAGGGGGTCCGTGTGAACAGGAAGCTCACGTAAGCGCTGCCAGCCGTTCAGGACACCGGGAGTGATGCTCCGCACACCACTCGCCTGTCCCATCCCCCCGAGACTGGGCTCACAGCGAGCTGGGGCCTGCGGTTTTGCCTCGGAGTTCTTGATCCTGGCAGCCGATCCTCGGCCCTGCAGGCGCGTGTGGTCGTGCGAGAGCACCACGCATCCTGGCGGTGCCCAAAGGGTCCATCCAGGTCCGACCTTCCTGCCCTCGTGTGCCCCGTGCCCCTACTCCCAGGGGAGCATGTGGGTGGCATTTCCAGCCTCCCCACTGCTCAGGCCTGACGCTGGCCGACCCTTGCTGGTTCTGGGCTGGCAGCCCGCCGGGTGGCCCCATTCTCTGCCCTGCACGCCCGCAGCAGAGGGAGAGCCCTGACCGGTGGCGGCCCGACCCTGCTAAAGTGCTTTGGTGCTTCCCCGTGGCCAGGATCCAGATCACAGTCCCGGCGTGGCCTGTGAGGCCAGCGCGTGCCGGCACGGAGCAGCTCCGGGACAATTGCCGAGCGAACGTGTGTGGCGCCTCAAGCTTGCCCGCGGCCACTTCTCCCTCCCTCCTGTAGTCGTTGTCCTGCCCCCACCTCTGCTGTCCGTGCTGCCCCTCAGCCCCAACAAACATCAACACAGCTTAAATTCCATGTCCTCAGGGGCGTTACCGGATGTACTGCCACCCTGCACCGTAAAATCCGCCTGCACAGCCCATTCAGCTTCTGCGCTTCCCCACCAGGACACGGGGGCAGGCTGGGCTCTTTTCTCTCCCCCATCCCAGACTGCGGCATGTTCATTCATTCATTCAGCACAGGCCTGCTGAGCGCCCGCCGGGTGCCAGGCGGGGCACAGGGCTGCCGTGGTGGTGGGCCTGGGCCAGATCCTGTCCTGCAGGAGCTGTGTGTCCAGCAGGGAGGCAGGTGTTGGAGTCACCACCCAGAGAGCCGTAAGTGTGCACTGAGACAGGAGCCGCACGGGAGGAGCTCCTGCTGGGAGGGCACCTGGGGGGTGTCCCCTGGGGCTCCCTGGAGGAAGAGGGGAGCAGGAGGCGACCCGGCCACCTCTTCCTCGTCACTCCCCAAGACTCCAGCGCCTGTAGGGCTGACACGAGGAAGCGGGCAGCACGTTGTGACTCGTGGCGAGCGTGACCTCGAGCCCAGGGCTGGACGGGGTGGGAGGCACGACATGGGTGGTCAGCCGTCCTGCTTCCTGCAGCCCGCCCTGCTCCCAGGCTGCGTGTTGAACCGCGCGATCCTGGAGGAAGCCATAGAACCCAATGGGGCCAAGGCCGACTCCTTGGCACGTCCCTTTGAGTTCCTCGTGTCCCGTGCGTTTCTTCATTCCTGATCCCCTGCCCCGCCCTCCTAGGGTTGGGCACCAGGAGGGGTGCTCGGGACGGCGGCGTGTGAGGTCTGCGTACCCCAAGCACGGCCCGTCTCCCATGAGGCCCCGGAGGGCAGGACCCGTGTGCTGCTCACTGACACGGACCTGCTCGTGGCTACTCAGACATTTGTGCAGCGGCGGCTGGTGTGGTGACACACACAGAGGGGCCCTGGGCTCCGGGGAACTTTGTATTCTCGCCCACAGCACAAACTCGCTGCTTAAACACCAGCGTGTCGCAGCTCAGTATTTGCCTTTGACAAACACGGCAGGGCTGGGGAGGACGTTGGAGGGAAGTTTCACTGGCGAGCGGTTGTTCGGTAGATTCATTAACTGAGGCCGCTGAGGCCAGAGCAGGTCTCGCCCTGCCCACGAGTGTGGCCCCAGGACAGGCTGCCCTGTGCGTTTAAAGAACAAGAGAGGGGGAGAGGGAGGCGGGAGAGAGAGAACAAGCGAAAAAGAAAGCTCACTCCTTCTTTTTAAATGTTCTCTTTTAGTTGACCCGAATAAGCGTTTTCTTAGTAGCCCACCCTCTCCTCCCCTGTCCTCTGCCTGACCCCTCAGGAGGACAGCGTCTGCATGAACTTGCAGCGGTCCTACTAGGTGCGAGGGGCTTGAAAAGGGCCGCGCAGGCTGA